TATGAAGTCATGCACACAGAAGTGATCAGAGAAAACATCAGTGAACATCTATTTCTATGACTGTGGATATATAAATTGTTCTACACAATAAAATACTATAAATCTATAAGAATGAACGACAAATCGAACAAACAACCCCTATGGGTATAAGATTAGGCAAAACCAGCAGGACCATAGAAGAATGGGAACAGTATGAGTCTAATGTCTGTTTAGAAGTATATATAGTATGACTAAACTATAAAGAAAACCAAGATGTTAATTAATATTAATTAGTAATTAATCGGTACAGGGTAATTAGTGGGATGTAAAAATGAAAAAGGGACACTGTAGACTGAATCACATCCCTGACCCTGCCAGATCTAAACTGAAGCCCTAACCTCTAGCCTTGAAATGTGGAACATCTAGAGAAAAGGACTTTAAGAGGCTGCTCAGGTAAACTGACATCATAGAGTTACAGTAATGAATTTTTTTTTTTTTTACTGTGACCAAAATACTTCACAGAACATGGCTTTTTTTAATTTATTCGCTTTATATCCCAATTGTAGCCCCTTCCCTCATCTCTTCCCAGTGTCACCTTCCCTCCCTCTTCCCCCTTTCTTCCTCCCCTAGTCCACTGAGAGAGGGAGTCCTCCTCCCCTACTATCTGACTCTAGCCTGTTAAGTCTCATCAGGACTTCCTGGATCCTCTTCCTCTGTGGCCTGGCAAGGTCACCCTGCCAGGGGGAAGTGATCAAAGAGCAGGCAACTGAGTTCATATCAGAGACTTTCCCTGTTCCCCTTACTAGGGAACCCACATAGAGACTGAGCTGCCATGGGCTACTTCTGAGCAAGAGGTCTAGGTTCTCTCTGTGTATGGTCCTTGGTTGATGTGTCAGTCTCTGCAGGTCCCCCTAGGCCCAGATTGTTTTGGCTTTGTTGGTCTCCTTGTGGTTCTCCTGTCCCCACCAGGTCCTTCTATCCCCCACCTCTTTCATAAGACTCCCTGTGCTTTGTCTAAAGTTTGGCTTTGAGTCTTAGCATCTGCTTTGACCCCCTACTGGGTGGAATAATTGTTAAGAGGACCTCTATGGTGGGCTCCTGCCTTGTTCCTTTTCTTCCATCATTTCTGGTGTCTATCCTGTTTGCCTTCTGAATAAGAATTAAGCATCCTCCCAAGGGTCCTCCTTGTTGTTTAGTTTCTTTGGGTCTGTAGATTTATCTGTTTTTCTGTATTTTAGCTTATATTATATGGCTAATATCTGCTTATAATTGAGTATATACCATGAGTGTCTTTCTGGTTCTGTGTTACCTCACTCAAGATGATCTTTTCTGCTTCTGTCTATTTGCCTGAAAATTTCATGATTTCCTTGTTTTTAATAGTTCAGTAGTATTCCATTGTGTAAATGTTCCGCAATTTCTGTATCCATTCTTCTGATAAGGAACATCTAGGTTGTTTCCAGATTTTGGCTATTATGAATAAAGCTGCTATGAACATAGTTTAAATTCCCTTGTTGTATAGTGGAACAAGATTAATTTGGGCTCATGTTTTTAACTCATCGTGGCAGAGGAATGCTGTGGCATCCCAGCTTGTGGAGGTAGAAACACATTGGCAGAGGCTATTCACCTCAAGAAACACCAGGAAGCAGAAAGTGCAGCCAAAACCAGGGAACTAAGAACCTTCAAGAGCTTCTACTTACTGACGCATCTCCTAAGCATGTCACAACATCCCAAAAGTGCCACCAACTGGGAATCAAACATTCGAAACATGAGCCTGTGAAGGACTTCTCAGATTTAATCTATAACATATGGGCAGATCCTAACCCAACAAAGCAGACATATAGGCCTATCATGGGCAGTAGCAGCCCTATGCAGGTAGGCGTGGAGCATATAATGAATGTAACTGAGCGAGCTGGCGGGGACAATCCAGTAAGCAGCATTCCTTCACAGTCTCTGCTTCAGTTCCTGCCGTGGCTTCCGGCAATGATGGACCTCTAACCCATAACACAGATTTCTTCCACAGACTTCTTTCAGTAACAATGTTTGTGATAGCAGCAGCAGAAGAGCAAACTAGAAAGGGGCTTTCTAGAATTGTAGGAACATTCTATATTTTCAGCTGTGTCGTAAGTATCCTATGATTATTTTATTGTTTTAAAAAGCACATTGATGTTCTTCACATATTTGTTTAGAGGAACTTTCTACAGCTTAAAAGATAGAATTGTAGTCACTGCTTAAGTATCTTTGGCACATTGATTAGCATTTGATTGATTGGTTCAGCAAATATAGTACTTTGCACATCCCACAAAGACTGTAGTTCCATTAGGTAAATCAATCAATATAACATCTTAAGAAAAAGAATGTTGCGCGCTGTGGTCTTCAGTCAATAACAATTAGAAAAATGGATGTGAGTATGCTTTTAAACTAAAATGTCCAATGCAGTGAGTGGATTGGAATGAAAATATCATTCCATTCTCTTCCTCTACTGGATTTTTCCTGTAGCATCCATGCCTCCACTAATACACTGTGGTGGCTTATACTGGTTGCCAACTTGATAAGTTAAAGAATCACCTTAGAGACTAGTGTCTGGGCATATCCGTGAGGAATTTGTCTAGGTGAGGTTCCCTGCGATAGAGAGAGTCCCCCTAAGTGTGGGCAGTGCCATCCCCAGGACTAGGTTATATACACTGGTGTTTGGGTAAATGGATTAGTGGAGGAACACAAAGGAGAGAGGGGTGTAGAGCAGGAAGAAGAGAGGCCTGCAGAGCCGTCTCCCTGGCATGGGTGGCCTCCTTCCTTCACCCCCACCTGCTATTTGCCCAGCCCTCCAGTGGACCTCATAAAGAAGTGCAAACCAACACAAGTAGTATGATGCTCTTCCTTTTGTCTTTAATTCACTTAACAGCCTGGTTGCAGCCCCCTCCCTACTCTCCTCTGAGTCTCCCCTTCACACCTCCCGCATTCCTCCATTCCTTTTTCCTCAGAAAAGAGGAGGCCCCCAGTGTACCATCCCATCCTGGTCCATCAAGTATCAGCAAGACTAGGTACATCCTCTCTCACTGAGGCCAGACAAGGCAGTCCAGCTATGTGAAAGTGATCCAAAGGCAGGCAACAGAGTGAAAGACAGCCCCCACTCTGTTTGTTAGGGGACCTCCATGAAAAACAAGCTGCACATCTGCTACATCTGTGTAGGGAGCCTAGGTCCAGCCCATGCATGTTCTTTGGTTGGTGGTTCGTTTTCTGTCAGCCCCCATGGACTCAGGCTAGTTTACTCTGTAGATCTTCTTGTGGTAGCCTTAATCCCTCTGGCTTCCTCAATCCTGTGCCCCCCCCATCCTCCCTGAGCTCTGCCTATTGTTTGGCTGTGGGTCTCTGCATCTGTTTCCATCAGCTGCTGGATGAAGCGTCTTAGAGGACAGCTATGCTAGGCTCCTGTCTACAAGCATAACAGAGTATCATTAATAGTGTCCAGGGTTGGCTCTCTTCCATGGTGTGGGTCTCGAGTTGGGCCCATCATTGTTGGCCATTCCCTCAATCTCTGCTCCGTCTTTATCATCCCGAGTGAGGTAACCCAGACCCAGAAAGGCACACATGGTATGTACACACTTATAAGTGGATATTAGCCATAAAGTATCAGATAACCAGGCTACAATCCACAGACCCAAAGATGCCAAGTAACAAGGAGGGCCCAAGGGAGGATGCTTGAATCTCACTCAGAAGGAGAAATAAAGTAGACATCTGAAGTAGATGGAGGGAGGGAACGGGGTGAAAGAAGGATGGGAAGGGGAACAGGGGAGGGGATTAGGACTGGGGAGGAGGAAGGCTGGGAGAAAGAATGGAAACCGGTAGAGGGCCATCTCTGGGTCAGGGGAGGGATCTGGGAATCTGTAGGGGTGGCCCCGGCTGAGACTTCTACCAGCAGGGGATATGGAGTCTGAAGAGGCCACCTCCTATAGCTAGGAAGGACTTCTAGTGGAGGGAAAGGGACACCAACCCATTCACAAAACCTTTGACCCAAAATGTGTCTTGCTGATGCCTGTCCTTTTAAAGGGGGAAAGGACAAAACTGCCGGAGGTTGGTAGTGAGGGGACTCTTTTAATAGCTGACTTTTAAGTAGGCAGTCAGGAAAAGCATCCCAGGTGGAGAAGCCAGCATGTGCAACTTCTCAGGGCAGGACCTAGAGCCAGGGAAGGAGGGAGGAGGGCAGTTGTAGGCATGCACAGAAGCAAGTGAAAGCCTGCAGGGTAGAGGGCATTGGGAACCATAGGCCAAGTTCAAAAGCTGTTATCTTATCAGTGCAGCAGGGAAATGAGCACAGGCTCATTGTAAGATTGAAGTTTAGGCGTCCCTCCACTGCTGGAGCATGAATGAAAAGAAAGCCAAGGCAGACCCAAGAGAGCCAGGATTAGAAGGATTTACAGGAGGAAGCCATGTGGTAAGGAGAGTCGCCTGTAGGTTGAAGAGGAAAGGGGTGGAGGAAAGGGTGGAAGGTAGCCCTGGCAGCAGGAGAGGTGCTGTAGAGAGCAGTTCTGCCTTCAGGGACCCTGGGGGATGACATCAGGTTTTTCTGCCATGAGCAGATAAGGAATAAAGGTGCCCTTTTTACAGTTGAGGAAGATGGGGTGGATGGAGCTATGATGAGAGGGAAAGGTCCAAGGAGGAAGAGTTAAGAAAAAAGAGCATAAAGGCCACATCAGAACCAGAGAGCCCATTTTGCAGCCCTGTCACTCTGTTCTTCTGTACTTGTAGTCAAAGAAAGTCCCCAGAAGTAAATCATCAATATCTATCTGTTTGCCTGTCTCTCTGTATGTCTTTTATCTATCTACCATCTCTCTATGATCTACCCCATCTATCATCTATCTTATCCATCTACCATCTACCTATCCATCTCCCTATCCCCCTCCTTCTTTCAATCGATCTCAACACCCCCTCCTTCCTCCTCACTGATTTTACTGATGTAGAACATCCAGATGTTGGCAAGGCAAAGCCAAGTGTTTTTCAGCTAACTCTTCCTGTTCATCTTTCAGGATCATCCAGATGTGCTGACTGTGCAACTGCAGCTAGAGAACCAAGAACTGATCCTCAGCCTGGAAAGGAATGAGTAAGTCAAGGTCATTTTTGTTTACAAAGCCACAGAGAAAGTTAAAGCAGTGTTCCATGAAAACTGTTCTCGTTTACAAGCATGGGTATGTTTTGTTTGTGACTTCTCAAGAGAAATTGTAGCTGCTGAGAACAGCTTCTGTTCATGTCTCCTTTACCCACTGGCGCTCCTACAAGTACCTCAGTTACAAAGGGCCTCTCTCATCTATTTCACTCTTACTTTACTAATGAGGTCTTCCAGTGAGCAGTCTGTACTTAAAAGAGTAACTGTTAAAGCAGTAGTTTTCCCGCTTGCAGGAAAGCTAGCTCCTCTTCCTCACTCTTCACTAAGATGCTAGGAGATGGGGAGTGGGGAGGGGCATTTGCTGACAGGGAGAGGAAGGAAGACATCCATCCAGGCCATGAAGTCGCAAAAACCAGAATCAGTCTCTGTGTGAACAAATCATGGTGCTCACCTTGTCAAAGTTTGTGTCTGTGGCCCTGGGAAAGTCAGATGGAAGAGATCCTGGCGTTAGTCACCTAAGGCCTCCAAGCGCCTTAAATCAGCGTATGTAAAATGACACAGCCTGGTCTCTGGGATCTACAACTTGCCTCTTTGTGTTTCTTCTTATATGTCTGTCCTTCACCACCAAGTGGATCAAAGGCTTGAAAAACAATAAATAATATGTTTTAGCTTTTTTTTTTTTTTTTTTGTATCCTGGTGACTTGAAAATAGAGATTCAAACACATGGATTAAATACTTGAGAGTTCTGAACAGAAAAAATGATATTGCTTTTATGTGTTTGTCTTCAGAAAGTAAACATTTTAATAATCTCTTTGGACATTATAATTTGTGTGGGAGCATGTACAGTTTGTGTGTGTGTGTGTGTGCATACATACCAATGTGTATTTATATACGTAAGCCAGAGCTAACTTCCTCAATTGCTCTCTCCACTGTGTTTTTTGAGACAGGGTCTCTCACTGAGCCTAGACCTAAACAACTAAGTTTTCCCTGGGAAAGCCTCCGGAATCTGCCTGTATTTGCTTCCCAGTTTTGGGATCATAGATGTTGGCTTTTATGTGGGTACTGGGGATACAAATTTAACTCATCATGTTTATATAGCAAGACCTATAGGCATTGAGCAATCTCCCTAGCCCCTCTACTTTTATCCATGTAAAAAATATTGTAGGAAATTCACCTTTTTTTTTTTTTTGCATTGCTGCATGCATATGACTTTGACAATGTCTCTGTAGAGGTAACTAAGACATATGGCTAGAATGTAAAATGTCCTCTGTGGGCTCATGTGTTTAAACACTTGATTCTCAAATGGTAGCACTGGATTGGAAGGCTGTGAAACCTTTAGAAGACAGGGCTTCTCTGGAGGATGCAGGTCACTGGAGCTAAACCCTTGGACTTTATACTGTCTCACGTGTCCACTTTCTACTTCCTGACAGTGGATGCAGTATGGGCAGCCGCTTCACTCTCCTACTGCCATGCCCTATCCACCATGATGGGCTATGCTCTCAAACTATAAATCAAAGTAAACCTTCTTCCCTGAAGATACTTCTTGTCAAATGTTTGGCCACAACAAGAAGAGTAGCTGGTGCTCTCAATGCCCTCTGAGAGACACAGAAAAACAAACAAACAAACAAAGATCTCAGAAAGACATCCGTGGAGTCCTGTGTCCTTTATGGGTTGTCATGATTGATTGGCAACAGGACTTAGATGTTTCTGTGGTGCACGTGCTTAGGCTAGCTAGCTGTTGGGGAAACGTGTTGACCAGCACAGGGGAGGCTGTGACCCTAAGTTTGCAGATGGTCTGAGGGTTGCCGTGGGCTAGAAGAGTGGAAAGATCGTATGAAAGCCTTTGTTTGTTTGTTTGTTTGTTTGTTTGTTACTGTTGTCTGTTCCACAACAGAAAAATGGAAGACTGTAGAGGGGGAAATGGAACAAAGAATAACAGCAAAATAAACCAATGTGCAGACCCTGCGCTGGCAGGGCAAGTGCAAAGGTGGATGTCTATCCTATAAACACGGCTTTGCTTTGGATGTCTCTAGCTGACATAGCAGTCTTTGTACATCCCCTGTACCATTGCTTCGCTTAGCATCTTATTGACATGCCCGTTCATATAAAATGCTGTCTTGGCCCCATCTGGTTCTCTGGGTTTCTGAAGTGGCTTAATTGCTCTCTTCATGGCTCCCTCTGGAAGTGATTTACTCTCTGTTACTGAAGATAGCATAATGCATGCTGACAACCAGACAAAGGATAATTTGTGTGGAAAATCATCTCAAAGGTGCCCTAATTTATTCCTGTCCAGTCCTTTAGGCCTTTCCCAAAATAACCTTGGAATTAGAAAAGTTAGAAACTTGAAAGTCTCTCTTCTCAATTTCTTTCCTCCTAATCTCTTCATCAGCCTGTGTTTTTAGAATATACAGATTACAGGGCTGGAGAAATGCTCAGAAGGGTAAGATCACTTGGCACGTGAACCTGGGTTCTGTTCCCAGCACCCATCTGACAGCTCACAACTGTCTGTAACTCCAGTTCCAGGGGATTTGCTGCCCTCTTCTAGCCACTGTGGACTTTACACTCCCAAGGTACATAAACATGAATGCAGGCAAAGTATCCATACCAATAAAATAAAATTAATGAAACTTTGTGTGTGTGTATCTGGAACATCTGGGCACGGTGGTGCACATTTCAATCTTAGCACTTAGGAAGCTGAGGCAGGAGATTCACCACAAGTTCAAGACTAGAAATGGGTATAAGGGGAATTTTTAGGCCAGCCACGGCAAAACAAAACAAAACACAACTTAATAAAAATTATGAATCATGAATTTAAATTTAAAACATGTAGTGAGTACACAGCTATTCCTTTGATATACCGTAGTTTTGGTTTACTTACACCAGTTGTAGTGATTTTATTTTTGCAGTAATGCTAATCAAACCCAGGGCCTTATGCCTGCTAAGAAAATATTTTCCACTCAGCTTACCCTTACTCCCCACCTGTGCCAACTTTAAAGATCACATTCTGTTAAAAGTAATGTTTTCATAATTTGAATGTTCTGGCATTACCAGTCTTTGCCCAAATATTCCTTTTTTTAAAAAAAAAAGAAGAAGAAGATTACACATCTATTAAAAATGAAGCAATATACAAATTTGTGAATGTACAATTCTGTGAGTGAGGTAAAATTGTTATCCTTCTCCTCATGCTGTCAGACACAAAATGTAGTTAATCATGCCCCCTTTAATTAAATTTTAATTTTCATAGTCTTTGGCTCAGGAGATCCAATTTAGAAAGTTTAGTCAAATGAAGCTGTAAGAAATGAGAAAAGGTCATTTAAATATTTAACACCCAGGATAGTAGAGGGCCTGAACAATCAGATGACCAGCCTGTTATAGGCTAGGAATTAGCCCCAAGTTCAAAGTCATTCACTGCTGAGTCTCTTCCTCAAAATTAAATTGGCAGGAGATGATTAAAATAATGAAGAACTTTACTGTTGTTTAAAAAAAAGCCATGATGTACCCAATGTAAATATCATGTTAGAAAATGTGTACATGGTATTCATTTTTTATTTTAAAATGATATGTGTATCAAGTAGCTCTAAATACAGGGACTATAAAAGAAAGCTTTATTGTTTTACAATAAGAAAATACAATTACAAGCTAGGAAGGAACTCCATCCTAATAGTGTAAAAACTTAGGAATGTTTAAAAAGAGGAAGGATGACATGTATGCCACTCATTAAAGGACATGTATTACAAAACCATTTTTTAAAGACCTTTGAACAGCCACTAGCAACTTCCAGAGTGCTAAAATGGCCTACCTGTTGAGCAATGAACAACTGGGTATCCCAAGACTTGTTATAATTAAAAACATGTTCAGCAATTAAAACTGAACTGAGAGTGGCCTTAGCCCCTTCAGTCACAAGAGCTGTCATCTAATCTGAGGCTGGCAGAGTCGCCTCACTATCCTCCTCAAAGTCCTGAATGGTAAGAAAGTTCTTCACAGAACAAAGCTTGACTCTTATTAAATACTTATTTTGGGGAATCTGTTTGATTTGCCTTCTAGCATCCCTAATTTGTGCAAAGATCCGCTGGTGGCTTTAAAATATGTGTTTGTGTAACCGTAATTGAATGTTTAAAGAAACACTAAGTTTCCCCGGAGCCGCATCTATCAGGACGTCGCTGTCTGCATATGGGACAGCAGGGACCAGGTTTTAGCTGCTGTAACTCTCCCTGCATCCCGGGACATAGATTTCCCGAGCCATTCCTCAGTGTTCCAGAAACTGCATCTTTGATCAAAATATTTTATGGGTCATGCTGGCCAGCTTAGACAACCATTTCATTTTCCAGTTTTGTATTTTTTTTTTAAGTGAAAGCCCTAGACTCCATTCAGCACTTCTCTCAGCCCCAGGGAGCCTTCCGTTTGCAAGTCCTGTCCCTCCACTGATCAAAGGTGGTTGCTGCGGGAAACCCATGGAAAACTAAATTTACACTCAGGGACTCTTTGAGCACAAAGAATGTCACTATTGATTTTTATCCCATCTGGAACAACTCCAGACATCTCTAAGAGGCAACTCTAATTAGTACTTTGCTCCAGAATTATAACAAAAAGGGTGTTTAAACATTGCTCCATGTTGGGCATAAATATCTGGTGGGTATTTGTTTTAATTTTTGAGATTATAAGAAACAACATTTCTCTCTTCCCTTTCCTCCCTCCAAACTATCCCACAATACTCCTCTCCACTTTCTTTCCAATTCATTGTCTTTTTGTCATTATTATCATGTGGTGTGATGTGGCGTGTGTTTGTGTATGTGCATGTCTCCGTAAACATAACTTGTTCATTCCATATAATGACACTTGTATATAGGTTTTCAGGACTGGCTATTTGGCACCGGACAATTTTTTGGTGTGCTCTTCCTCGGGGAAGACCACCTCTCCCACTCCCAGCTTTCCTCAGTTGTCTATAATTTTTTGTGTAGGGTTGAGGCCTCGCGGGCCTCATTCACTTTCGCATGTCC